TTGGATGCGCACATAACCTTGAGAAAACAGTCTATTAATGAACCATAATGAGGACACCTGAGTTGTTTTTATACAGATGTCTGCATTGCATTCATATGACATGGTACTGCTACTGGTTATGTTAATGCATAGAATGTACCACTATATGAATACTGAATGTTCAATATGATTTTTTCAGGCTGTCAGTGATATTGAAAGAGGCTGGGTGATAGGACCTAAAGAAGCTTATTCTAGGTTAAATGAACTAAAGCAAAGTGGTTCTAAGAAAGAGGTATTTTGTAATGCTTATAATCATTGGCTATTATTGCTGTGGGTACTTCCAGTATAAATCCATCCATACCTCCATACTTAAGGGTAAGGTCAAAGTAACTGCATATCTTACTAGACCTAATTTAGACAGGAGTGGTGGGGAAATTCTGGTAAAGGGTTAACTAGTTGTACCCTCCACCTCTTGTCTCACACCTTCTCATAGCTGCATGATCTCTAATGTAAATTGTATGTAAATAATGTAAATAAAAATCTCTCTTGCTTTGACCTCACCTTCTCATAGCTGATATCTGTAATGTTTTTAGTATCTCAGGTTGGCAAGGATGATGAAGTATTATGGCTTTATTCAATTCAAACCATGTATAACTAATTATCCAGAAGAAAATACAAGAGTCCTGGTCAGCTGTGGGGATAGAGAGTTGAACTTAAGGCTACAAACATCAGATGTAAGTGAAGGAATCTCTGTACATTTACTTTGTGATCATAATGCTCTATGTTCTGTAAATTACAAAGACACACAGAAAGCACGGGTGGYGTAGCGGTGTGAGCGCTCGCCTCTCATCAATGCAACCYGAGTTCAAGTCCTGCAGGCTCAGTGTTGTATATGAGTAGAGTTGTTTGTTGGTTCTCTCCTGTGCTTCGAGGGTTTTCCGGGTTCTCCAGTTTTTCTCCCTCCACAAAAATCAACTCCTAAATTCCAATTTGATCATAGAATGAGGGCCACAGGTTTGTTAGCCACTGGCTATTAAGTGCTACCCTCGTGAAAAAAGGACGTTTTTTTTTTTTATGTTGACAATGTTATAATTTAAGCTGATATTGTAAAGCAGTTTTGAAAAAAGAAAGTAAGTTTCGAGAACCCATGATGGCTTTGGTTTACTGCCAGTCAGTTATGCTCATTAGAAAAAAGATTATCTGTCCTCTTTATCCCCTAAACTGTCTGCGTGTGACTGGKTTTTTTGATAGCACAAGATGCAGGAAGGAAGCTTCAAGGTGACCAGGATGAGGTGCTGGAGAATAACATCCTCAGTGAGTAACTTTGTTTTCATTCGTTTATTTAATGTTTTGAATTGCCTGAGTTTAGGCATGCCAGGCTGACTAGGTAATAATTGTAGTATCCATGGCAACCCAGTGGCACTGAGCACCTTTTTTTTTGTCAATGCGCACTGGGTGAAAAGGGGGGGGGGGGGGGTAAGATGAGTGAACAAGGTTCATTTATATAACTGATACGACTGCCAAGCAGAAGTGCAGTACATATACTTAGCAGCACTGCTATGGTTACTTTGTTGTGTAGAAACCTTCAACAAATGTAGTAATGCGAGTAATACATACAATATGAGTGGGTTAACTAATGTCTAGGTTAGTTCATTTCTCTTAAAGTTTTGAGATAAAAGTGAATCTGCCCAAACAAATCCAAGTTTTAAAAAAGATTATGCAAATTAACATGATTTTATATCAGAATTATAAAACTCCACCATTGTCATGATTTCTATTGCTTTTTCCTCATGAATTATTAATAATGAGTTTAACCAAATGACTGACAGTGGTTGACATGCTACAGGTTGACTGACTGGATCAATGACTAAGTCACGTCATGTCTTCTGATGTAATATATTCATAATAGAGTTTTGCATTTAATTTTAGAATATTACAACAGAAGATGGCAAAAAACAAGAAAACTTGGAACTAGCCTTTGAATATTTGCTGAGTAAAGAGCATTTACAATGGATAACATTATACAGTGAACAGGTATGAATAAACCAATACACATGGCTAGTGTTAAGGTACATATCTGCACTGGGCTTTAATGAGAAAATGGGTAAATGAAAGAAATGAAAGTAAGTACTATAATTACAGAGGTCCTTACAGTAAATCCCCCATGTACACCKGTTCTTAATATCAATTTTGAGTGAGTTGTAGGCCTGGACCAGTGCCACTGCACAGAGTGTACTGTGTTGTATGGAGACTTGAAAAAACTCAAAAGCTACAGTGTAGATATTGGTATTCCAAAAAAAAAAAAATTATTGAATTCAATGAACCATGTTTTAACTAAAATAATGACTATAATCCTGACTTTGCACAACGACATCTTTGAAATATGAAAGATCATTTATTAATTATTACTTTGTTTATTTTAGGCTATATTAATCAGTATGTGCCTGCAGAGCATTGTGGATGAAATTTTAAGGCTCAAAATTGGAAAGCCGATCAAAAGTGCAAAGGTAGATAATATGATTATGATAATATATGTTGTTTGGTACCGTTGAGCTATTTGATATCAGATTTATTTTCTTGGTTAGCTTCACCTTAGCTATGATTATTCGGTTGATAAGTATTCATGTCTTAGTAATATTATTTTATAATATGTAAAATATATTGTTGTTATATTTCAAGAAAAAGAGCAAAACCAAAAGTGATTCAAAGTATAAGCGCTGTAATTCTGTATCATCAACAGCTTCTAACGAGGTAAGTTCATTTTTTTAAGGAAACCTGCCTCTACAACACTCAGTGGATTGATTATAGTGAAGTAGTACACTCATCTTTCACCTCTGGGGTCTTGTGAGTAGTGTTAGCTCTTTCTCCCCAAAAACTGCTGACCACCGTAAAAAGTCGGGGTGGGGCTACTAAGATTATAATATATTATAAGACACCAGTATGGGAAAAATTGGGRCCAAGATTGGGAAATATAAGAGACTGGTATGGAAAAAGAGAAAACATATGGGGGGCTTTAGTGTCGCAGTCCCTCCTGTCTCTGCGGTCCCTGCCTCTCTTAACTTGAGGGTTCTCTCCGGGTTCTGGCTCAGTGTTTTAACTGAGCACSTATGATAAATAAATTACCAATATGATCTGGATTTCAGTTGTGCCCTGACAAAATAATTTGCTTCTCATTAATTATAATAACATGGATGGTTCATTAAATATTTTGTGTATCTGTAGGGTGAAGAGGAACAAAAGTCTTCCAGTTCTCCTCCTTTACCTAATGCAACCAAGACAACACCAAGTCCTTCTCCTTCTACAACACAGAAAAAGAAATCTCAAAAACAAACACAGGTTTGTCAATGATATTATTTGTGTTTTTGCATGGTTGATCTGACGGCAAAAGGCTTACTTCCTTTTCTCTTCTATTTCTTTCCTTAATTCTATTCTCTTCCCTTTCTATTATTTCTTTTCCCATCCACTTCCTTTCCTTTCTTTCCCTCTTCACTTCTCTTTCATCTTCTTATCTTATTTCCTCTCCTCAATTTACTTACTTCACTTTTTTCCATCTTGTCTTCTTTTGTTTTTTTCCCTCCTATCCACTTTCCCCTTCCCACTTCTTCTATTCCCATATTTTCCCTTTATTTATTCATTCATGACGTAGCTAAAGCCTTCACGTTTTGTTATTCCCTAATCCAAGGAATGGTATTATTTTCATTTCCAGAATTTCAACTATTTGCCGGTCCCTCAGAACCAAGCACCACAGGCTTCAAACACCAAAACTAATAAGGTGTTTGAAGGGATTGGAGATGATGATTTGTAAATCTAAGTGCATTTTCTGAAGACACCTTCAAAGTACACGTGAATGGGCTCCCTGTGTGCAAACTACCACAGGAACCCCAAATTAACTTTTTTCAAGCACAGGACAAGAGAACAACTAGACAAAGCTTCCATTGCATGTTCATAGGAAGATAATTTCACATTATAGCTTCCTTTCCTGTTTAAAGGAAAGTGATTAAAACAGTCCAGTCCTGGTACTCGTTTGTGGGCTACAGGACAGGGAGCTGACCTGGACAAAACGTCAGACCAGCACAGTGGAGACTAATATGCCATAATAGTAAAGATAAATAATGTACTGATATCGTTATTTCACTACTAGCAAGAAATATGTGAATATCCTGTGAAATTTCAAAACTTTTGATAATTTTTAGGGTTTTTTCCAGGATTTTGACATCATCTAGTAGCGATTGATTTACATCACAAGTGCTTACATAAACTAGTGTAGAATAACGAGAACTTTTATATATATGTTGTGTAGTTCCAGAAATTATCCATAACCCCCCTCCTTCCCCCCCCCCTCTCCAACATAAGAATTTGGAATTATCAAGGGGTATGGGGGGTCAGAGAAAGAAATAAAAACAGTTTCTATGAAGCAGTATTAGAATTTCCAGGAGTAGGTCTTTCAAACCTATTCTGTGGGAGAATGGATGGTCTGTAATGGATAATTTCTGAACTACACATAATTCAGCAATCATTTGAATGTTGACTAACAGTCATAGAGGGTACATTTTTATAATCAAAATCATTAAAAAATATATTGATCAAAATTCATGATCATTGAACAGTCAAATTTTATRAATAAAAAGTTCAATTGCACATAATAAATGAAGATAGATAACTGCAGACAATAAACTAGTGGAAAAGTGCTAATTTGCTGTAAAAAGCACCATAAAACAAAAATAAAAAACAAAGGATGTTTTTACTATATTAGCTGTGCTTACAGCTTAGACACTTTCTTTGTACAGCAGTATAGCAGCAATAGACTTCAACCCGGCATTCAAATTAATGGTCATATCAAATCTTGAATGTATTTAGGCTGATTAATTAATGCAGAAAAATGAACTGTCTCTAGTGGTGCAATAAATATGTATACACAGCTGCTTGTGTTGGTTTTCAAACTGAAGATTTTGGGAAGCCCCAGTACTGTAACTGCAGTTCCATKTTTGATAATAGTCAATGATGCAGTGGCAGATCCAGAACAATAATTTCAAGGGAAGGTTGTGAGGGTGGGTGCTACCTAGAAAGGCAGCATACTCCTTAARCTTTACCTTATTTAGTTATATATTTTTCAATTCCAAGGAGGGTGTTAGTCTCCCTCGCATCCATTTTAAGTGGCRGTCGTCACGCAATKCTCACGACCGACACTAAAAACGGATGCRAAGGAGACTAAGGAGGGTGTCAGCTAGCCATCCAATCCACCCTGCTGTTGCCACCCTTGTTATAAATAACTTGTTGACATGTAGCAACTGATCGAATACAGTTTTGGGAAGTATCACATCTCAATAATCTGAACGAGTGTCTAGGGAAACAAAATTCAAAACAGACTCAAAATTCATTTTCTATTTATGAACAACACATTCACTATCACAAAAGTGTATTTTTTTTATTTTGAATAAAACAGATTTCTGTACTTAGTAATACACAATGTACCTTAGCTAAGCAAATGCAAAACCACAAGCAGAATTACTCTACACTATACTAGTATAACTAACCCACTTTTAATATTATTATAATGAAAGATGCCTTTTTATGTTGAGATATTAGGAAAAAGCAGTAACAAAATTGTGTCCATACCAGATGAATCTAATAATCTGGTACATATTATATGTCATACAAGTGTACAAGTTGAAGCCCACATATAGAGCAGTGCTTAGTATTCCTATCTATCATRTCAAAAGTACTAGTAACAACTACTTTATTCTTCATAATTCTTCCTTCTTTTTGTCTTCGTCATCTAAATCAATGTCAGACAAGTCAATATCCTCTTCTTGTGGTAACTGCCCATCTTTACCGTCCCATGCCTCTATAGTGGAAAGGTCTGGTAAAGAATCACCTTTTAAGGCAGCTGTAGATCCTCGCCCAACAGCTACAGTCCTCAAGAATTCATCGATACCAGTACGATCAAAAGATCCACGCAGTGTTGCAAACTTCTTCTTGCGCGCATTGACAGCTACAAGAGCAGGGTAACCAAATCCTCCAATTTCTAAAGCTTCTTCAAGTTTTTGCTGAGCACCTGCTTCAGACCAAAGCCATCCCCATAAATTTTTCTTGTATTTTTCACCCAATTCTTTGAGCACAGAGAGATACTTGTTTCGTCCCTCAGCTCCAGAATCAAGAATATGAGGTAAGAATGAAATGACACACAATGGTTTTTCATTACAGTTGCYAGTTAGGGTYTTAGTATCTATTGCTTGTTCAATCRCTGGAGGCTCGATAGATGCTGCCATTTTATCAAGAGCAAACTGAACAATGTCAGATGCTGTTCTTCCACCCTGGTAATCCTCAACACTATGGGAATCTTTGACTCCAGCGGCAAAGACCTTGATGGTTGGGTAGCCTTGGACTTGATATCGGCTGGCAATAACTGTGTGTACAGTGGCATCAACAGCACCAACCTTCACCTTGCCTTCAAGTTCYGAAGCTGCCTTTGCCCATTCTGGTGCCAACCGTTGGCAGTGGCCACACCATGGTGCGAAGAATTCTACCAGCCACAGATCTTTACTGTTCAGAACTTCTTTTTCAAAGTTGGAGTCTGTCAGTTCAATTACAGCCTTTTTCCCACTACCACCACCCTGAAATACATTCACAATAAATGTTCAATTAGTTTACAACTCAATCCTTAATTTYAATGTGTTATATCTTTCAGCAGGCACATAACTGTCAGAATGGGTTGGGCAATACTGTAAATGGTGGCCTAAAGCTCCTGATGCAAATGGTGTGAGGAGTAATGATGATGATCTTTCACCAACCTAGATATTGATGTACAGTATCATATTGCTAGGATAGAGGATGAATAGTTTCAAATGATAAATCCTCTTGAAAATGCTACCATAGCCCTTATCAGCACAATGGGCAACATTGACTGGATGTGACAAAGGTATTCCCTGTTCACATTTAAGGCTAATATTATCATTGATACCAACGGCAGCCATATAACTCACCTGTTTACTTCCACCAGAACTGCGTCCACCCCCTGATAATCTTTGTGATACAGCTTCTTTGGCAGCACTCATGGCTGCATCTGCAATACCTTGGGCTGTGCGAGGACCTGCAGGGATAGATGATTTATTTTATTAGCAAAAATATAACTAATCGTAGCTTTTCTGTAGACCTCTGGCATCTTCAACAGGAAGCCCAGAGAAAAAGACAGAATGAGAGTTGCMAGTGATGAGGATAAACTAATAGCAGTACTCTTAGATATGATGATACATTGACATTCATTCAATCATAACAGCTTATCTTAGACCTCAACATACCATTATAGTCTTTAGGTGAATTTTTATTAGCTCCAAATATCTAGAAATCAAAGAAAACAAACATGTAAGCAATAGTTTTATGGACACTTAGAACTAAAGATGTCAGAAAATAGAACTTTTGGCTTTAATGTTTGGGCTACCATTTGGCACAGATAATGAAATTCTAAGACTTTAATCAGTGGATATATATATATATGATTCTTCTCTCCTAACATTTGAATGAGTTTAAGATAAGTATCCATTTGCTCTTATTTCTAACATACTTGTATTAGTCTAAAGGCTTTTACAGACAGATACTTTCTTGTAGCTATTATTACAAATGAGCTAGCAGTCAAGTTCATGCTTGGAATTGATGTTAACGAGTCAAAAACATTTAGCAGATTCATTTCTCTTAATTTGAAGATCTAAGTGTTGGTATCRGTTCTAACCTTAATAGTAGGGAATCCTCTGATACCATAAGGACCGCCGACTGATTGATGGACGTCCATGTCTACTGCACCAACCTTCACTACACCCTGCAGGGAAACAAGACAGCCAATCATCAGTAACCTTCTATGATTGATGAYCAATAGAGTACTCAAGTGATGAYGTCACAAAAATTTATTTTCGCTTGATCATATTTTTGGTTAACAAATTCGGTAGACAATGAAAAATRAYGTTTACACACCAAATTTGATGAGAATSGGACAAATATCAGCTGAGATATRACCATTTGAATATATRACTACYCCATAYAAATCACGTGTGTAARCRTCTTTTTTGATTGTCTATAGAAATTAGAGATCGAAAATAATTAAAGTCAACATTTATTTTTTCGTGACGTCACACTTGAGAACTCTATAGAGATGTTTGATCACTAGGCAACCAAGTGATTAAAGGGTAATCATCACCTTAAGTGCTGTAGCAGCTTTGGACCATTCTGGAGCCAAAGCCTTACAATGCCCACACCTGTAAACAAAACAGAATCAAGTATGAGACATTATATGTACAAACTTATACTTAAAGTGGATAAACATTTATTAGAAAGTGGCTACAGTTGTACATATCTAATGTTTTGTCTATAGCATATTATTTTCTGAAATTGATTTTACTATTAGATCACAAAGAGAGAAAAACTATGCCAAATTTTTGGCATTAAAATATAGTCCGTGGAAAAGGAAACTTATATGTTGTTAGAAAGTACAAAAAGCTGTTATTTACACTGTATTATAACTAAGTAACGCTAATATCAAATCACAGTTTACAGCCTGGCAATTACCATAATGACTAGATATAGTACACGTAGAACATAACCTTCTTAAACGAGTTTTTRGGTCACAAATAATTAATCAGGCAGCTGTATTCAACTATTTTAATGCCATCTCACGCTATAAAATAACTTTTCAAGCAACAATAAAAAATAGCCAGAGGTTTATAAAAMGAAGCTAGCTCTAGTTCATTAAAAATACAAAACATGAGGAATTCTTCATTCTAGAACCATTCYTTTTAACAAAGTTGCAAAAACTAACGAAAGCAAAACAAAGAAACCTCAAATGAACTAAACTAGACTTACCAAGGTGCATAGAATTCTACCATCCAAACARCATCATCATTTAATACTCTATCATTGAAGTTATTGGCCGTAAGTTCTACAACATCTGAGCTTGGACTGTACAAGGCATTAGACAATGCCACGAGAGAAACTAAATATACACCTGAAATTTCCACGAATATTGCCTCCAATTAGCATAAAAACCATTCTGGTTTGAAGAGGAATGATTAAGAGACAAGTGGTAAAATTTTCTTACCGTAAATAAGCTGCATTTCTTTATAAAGTGGAGTAGAAACACGTATTGAAGAGAGATAATAAAGACTGACTGGACAAAAAGTGTGAAGTGAATGATTGTAAATGGACCGAAGATCGAATAAAGCGGCCCTTTTCGTGTCTCGCTGTGATTGGCTGAAATAAGAGCGTTTTAATGGAGAATCTGCTGATATTTACAACGTGGGCGTCAAAAAGAGCTCAGCGGAAAACACAATTAGCGGACTTTTCAACATATTGTCCCAAGCAAGGGGATTCTTATAGATTGAGTTATAAMGGACGATATTTTGATCATAAGGTACCTATTGCATAGTTAAAATAGGTTATTTTTCTATTTAAAAAAGTATGCAACTTAAAGTTTTTTGTTTTGTATTAGAAATACRATATCATGTTTACATGAATTTTTTCTTCAGAAAAGCGCAAAATGGCATTCAAATGAAAAAATACATCATATTTTGAAAAAAAAAAGCTTTTTGTCATAAGGAAAATTTAAACTACAACAAAATTTAAGAGATAAGTGTTCTAAGTTTCGAAATTGAAAAAAAAATTGTTTACGTATCTTCCGTGAGTCATAAATAATATTCATGAGATGTAGTGAGCGCGCAGTGTGTTGTGGGTAGCTATCAATTCCACCCTCGTGTTTAGTTCGTTTTTGCACTCAGCATGTTTCATCGTAACTCAAAATGTCAACATTAAATTTCTTCATTTTTCTCGAGGTTTATCCAACGTAGACTCGATGGAGAACACCTCAAGGCTTCTCCAAGTCCTCGGTGGTTTAAAATATCGAATAACTGTAGTAAAATAGTCTTGTTTTGGGGTTTGTTTTGAGACAACTTGATCTTGCTCGATTATCATGTCGAACCAAGGTTCTCAAAAGAAAATAATTTTCCAAGTTGGAACGAGAGTGGAGGCTCAGGACTTTACCAAAAAGTGGTAAGCATAAGCATACCTGGTTTGTTATCCTAAGGAAGTATTATATATCATATTATTATGTTTTTACTAGTGAGAATGTTCTGGGAATTAAAGGCGGTAACTTCAAAATAATGTATTCACAAAGTACGAGCATTAGATATTGTTAACTGAATGACCACAAGGTTATTGAGCTCCAAACTTCAACTACATTTTATTATTTAATATTTTTGAGATTAAAGAAAGGATATTTTATGGTTTGCGTTAATCTTGAGTTCGAAGAACAGGGCTCGTATTCAATAATAATTGCGATATCTTAAAACAAATATCGAACGAAATTCAATATWTTTTCAACTCTTATTTCGTATCCCTGTTCACTCTTATGTAATAATCCAATTTTTTTGTGTTTTTAAATTATCAATTTATAAGAATAATCTTAAATTTGGCATGAGTTTTCTCGTATATTTATATTGATTTTTTCCCATCAAAAAATAAAAATACTGCGTAGTGATCATTGTTTTCAGTACAGATGTCGTCATCAGTGTAAATAACATCTGTATTAATAACAAAATGAATATTTTGGCCGTCAATCTAGCAATATAAGATAAAGCAGTTACAGTGTGTATACTCAGCTTCTATTATATCACTGGATACTGTCACTTGATGTTAGTTAAATGAAAGCAATATTATTAGTGGTTGACCTTAGATGAAAGGATTGATGTCTGTAATCATTTCTATAAGAAGATGTTTCATGGTCAAACAAATTTGAGATTCATTAATTTTACAGCCATGACAAAGAAAGTTCTCTCTCCGTATGTGTGTCGTAGACCCCTGCTGTATTTGTGTTATAAAAGATTTTCCTACTGATGTTTTGTATGAGTTAAACAATTGAGAGTAACTGTAATTCCTTAAAAGGAATAATGATGGAATACCCTACAGCTTTATAGTTTTTTGTCAATACTCTTCAAAGGGTAAGGCTTGCAGAAATAACCATAACTGTGGCTACATTGTGGGTTGTTCTATCCTTATATCTATGTTAGAGAGGTGTACATACTGTATAATGTACAAGGGGTTACACCTTGCAATCAGCAAAAGAGTACTAACGAGTGCTAAGAATAACAGCCAGTCATTGAACAATGTCTAGTCAGAATTGAAACTTGTCTTAGTGGTCAAATATTTTCCTTTCCGTTCATTTTGACCAGTAACATTAGAGTAAAAATGAGGTATCATCAAGGTAAAACTAAAATCAAGCCAACTTTCGATATCCTGCTTGAGTGATTAAGCACAAAACAATCCAAGTTGAGGGTCCATGGAAACGATAGCATAATCATATTAAATTCTTTTGTTTCCCTGGAGCCTCAACTCAGATTGTTTTGTGCTTGATCACTTAACCAGAATATCAAAAGTTGGCTATTTGGTCAGCCACCTTAACTTTCAACTGACAAGCTGTTATATTTTAGCCCTGCTTAATACCATGTTAGAGAAATGTGTGTATATTAATCTCTATGGTGCTAGGGGTCCTTGGGTTGAGGGACGTGTGGTTTGTTAAAGTCAGCCAGGTGCCTCCCAATTATTTCACCCCCGAAGTGATGATTTAGATTACAATTAAAATTTTTTTTTTGAAAATTGGGATGTAGCATATATAGATCCATGAAGATGAAAAGGAAATGTTTTGATGGGTGAATTACTAGCTGGTGGATAATCTCAAAACATTATTAAATTTTATTAGGATTAAGTTTTTAATCAAATTGGTGCTAAGCCATGTATCACAGATCTATCAGCTTATTTGCATTTTTCATATGACTCTGTCTTGTGTATATACTATTATTTAATCACTTTTATTTTAAGAGAGCTTATATTCAAGTTTTTTTTTTAAATAATAGAATAGATTAGAATCCAATGTCCAGTGGTGTTTTGTGTATATTGATTGATAACTCTTTCTAATTCCTATTTCAGGTATCCTGCCAGAATATGCCGTGTTGATCAGTCCAGTAAAAAAGTGTTGATTCATTTTGAAGGCTGGAATCATCGTTTTGATGAATGGATAGCATTTGATTGTGAACGACTGAGACCCAGTAGCAGAACTACAGAAAGTAAAGAAGACAAAGCAGATAAGGCAGCTATTGTACAGGTACGTTAGAGTACTACCTGTATCTGTCTGCCGTAGTGTGAAAGGCAATGATTCTTTCACTTTATTTTTAATTTAGCATAAATTTATTAATTTTGTGTGTTTGATCTATAAGGGATAGGTTATTTTTAATATTCTGTGTTTGCTCAGGGATAAGACATTTATTAATTTTTGTGTTTGCTTAGATCAGAAATAGTTTATTTATATCTATTCCAGTCCAGTTTGGAAGACGAAATGAGTTTTATTTTCCTAGTAAACAAATACCATTGTTTTGCTTTCCAAGTTGAGGTGCATAATGTAGTTGATGTAGTTATAATTGAAGGAAGCCTGACCCAATGTTGTTCACATTTGCAATCAAGGGGGAATGTAGTATTGTCTAAATATTGAAACACACTCTCATATCTATTAATTTTAAGTAAGGTTTTTTTTGTGTCTGTTTTAAGTTTTTATCTTTAACTGTAAATCATTATCAATAATTATTTTCCAACCTATTGGTCTAGTGTAGTTAATGTTATTTTATATGCTTCATCTGCAGTTCAATTTAGCTGGTTATTAATCATGTTTTCATTAAAGTAAAGCCTGGGTTTTCTAGAAACAATTTTTTCTTTAATTTAGTGTTTAGTTTAATCAGCATTTCATCAAGAATATCTAATTTCAATACAAGTGTGAGAAGTGTGTTTTATCAGCTGTTTAAACATTGTACAAGGTCTAATAAATACTAAGTGAATGTCATTCATTGCCAGCTGCTGAAAAAAGACTAGATTAACAGTCAAATATTGAAAAATGCTGCTGGTGTTATGTTGAAGAAATTTGTTGAAATTATACAGTTTTTGTAGAATGAGCAGCTGATCTGTCTGATCATTCACAATCAAGAGAGGTTGTATATTTATTACCTATCTAATGTCTAGAAGTATAGTTTCTTGTCCTACTCAAGCTTTTTAAAAATGAAATGAGTTTTAGCCATTGAGAAAAACCATTTAAAAGTTGAATACAAATGAGAACAGGTCTGTATAAATTTACAAACTTGTAGGTGATGAATTTTTTTGATAACCTGTATATTTATCAACTTTAATAATTCAATAAGTGTGTGTATATATAATATACATATATACCTTGTGGCCACATACTGTTAGCCTTAGGAAATAAAATAAAATTTTGCTACCAGTAGCAAATTGGGGCCTATTTAAAAGCAAGCTATCCAGTAACACATCTTAGTAACGTAACCTATGATTGTATGATATTTAAAGTGTTCCAAGAACAGGTCCAGGGGGTGGATTAGGTGGTTAGCCACCATTCTTTGCAGATGAAAAATTAATAAGAATAAAGAATAAGGTTAAACCTATAAAGGATGCTGTTTGCCTTTCTAGGTATCATTCATCCCCTTAAAATCATTCTGGATTAGCTACTAAGTTTTGTGGTGTTCCATTTATATCTTTATAATAATATTATGTACTTATGTTTTTATTGCATATGCTTGTTGTGGTGCGGTGCTGTGCTGTGCTACTCATCTTGTAGCAGGAAGTTCAGATTTACAAGGTCAATATTTGATATGTGTACTTTGAAGAATAACTTTGCTCACATCATGAATTATCTACTACACCTAGTACTTACTACATAGCACCTTATAGTTACT